GGATGGAAGCTCTGCCCCGGCGGTGCCATGGCGAGCCCCTGGCGCAGGGCCACCCCCGGGCAGACACGCCGCAGCCCACCGGGGCTCACAGAGCCTGGTGCAGAGACACGGGGACAGCATCAGGGTCGCTCGGCTGGGTCTCGGGGGTGGCAGACCTGTGGGTCAGCACACGAGGCCTCTTGAAGGCTCCAGGCCAAGCCAGAGGAATTACTACAGAGGTCTCCAGGGTTGGCGTGTCAGGTTTGGAGCATTCCAGTAACCTCAGCTCCTCGGTGCTCACATCAAGGGACAGGCTGGCATCCAGAGGAGCTTTTATTGCTGAGATCTCCCATCTGGGTGCTGGCATCTTCCCAAGGGTTGAGAGGTCACCAGTGAGCTCAGTGCTCTTGGACAGCAGGCTCTCCAGCAATTTGGGGTGCTTTTCTCTCTTGCATGGCGTTGAGGTGTTCTGTGACACCATATCCATCAGGCAGTCGGCTGTGCTGGGGTGCTCACAAGGCAAACTGGACAGGTCAAAGGCAGCCTGACCGTGGTGGGTCTTGCAGAAGCAGACAAGGCTGAGGTCAGAGATGCTTTGGGTCAGGCCCTGCAGGTCAGTCTTCACACAGCTGCTCAGAGACTCCGACTGCTTGACAACACACAGGGACCTGCCTTTTGCTACACTGTCCGAGTCCATGAGAAGCTCCCAGGTGTCTGGTTTGGAGGCACTGCTATTGTCCATGCAATAACTGCAGACAGAAGAATCAGTGCGGCTGGAGGCCCTGGCCACAAACCCTTTTTCCAGTATTTCTTTTATGGTCAGGATGCTGGTACTGTGCCTCTTGGTGGACAGCATGGTGTGGAATCCCACCACTGTCAGGCTTGTGGAGACCAGGATGTCCCTGCCAGAATAAATGCATTAATGTTCATTACCGTTCTCTAGCAAATTGCAGACAGAGTATTAAGACTGCTCTCTGCAAAATCCTGTCTCAGCCTTGCTTAGGAGAGCGAGGAGCTGAGCAGGATCCAGAACAGTTATCCAGCCTGTCATTGTCTTCTAGAGCAACACAATTGCACAAGAGCCTGTTTATTGTTCACAGGTCATCATGGAGCCTCTAGAGTTCAGCCTCAGCCTGCATACACTACTCTTAGCTTTGTATAATGTGTAGGGACTCTCAATAAACCTCTCCATCTGTTAGTGGTACTAAGATGGAACTGTTTTTTCTCAGAGATAAGACACTTTACCCTTGTTCCTCAAGTCACAGGACCATAAAAGTTAGAGTTGAGTCACTTTGGGATGGAGACACTAAAACTAGGCTCTGGTTAGGATGGAGAGGCTGAGGAGCAGCTTTCACAATACCTTTTGTCCCACACGTGGTTTCCCCCCCCTGCAGACCTGGGGGGTCCCACAGCCCACATGGCACTAAGGGAGGTCCTCAGGACAGGCCCTTCTGGCAGGTCTCATGCTGCACACCCCTGCCCTCTGCTCTGTGGGCAGGAGCCTCCTTTGTGCTCCCCCTCTGCCCAGGAGGAAGGGGCTCACCATCACCTCAGGCAGCAGCTGCCTTCTAGGCACCCTTATAGGGAATGGGGCAGGAAGGGAACGCGAAGGCAGCTTGCTATGGTCTGAAATTACTTTTACTCTGAACACATTGAAAGCAGAGATAAAAAGCTCATGAATTTACTGCAAGGGGGGGACTGGAGGATCATTCTAGGAGGAAAGTCTTCTTTGAAAGACTAAAATATTTTTTTCTTAAAGACAATTAAAAAATAGCATGTGAGAAATATTAGGGGAATAAAATACATGCTAAGAGGATAGGCTAAAAAGTATTACCTACCTTCAGGTTCTATGGAAACCCCCTTGGAGATCCTGATCCTTCCTTGCTAGTGTTGCTTGTAGCATTTTTATATTTTTGGCAATTCATTAACAGGCTAGTTTCCTAATCAAGCTAGTTTGAGAGAGGGAGGGGTTTTTGTTTGCTTCTTTTTAAGCACAGGGCAGTGATTGTGAGCTGTGGCTAACTGCTGAGGGTAAACTGAGTCCTGTAGGGGTTGTTTGTAGCCTGTCAGCAGCAGCCTTGAAGAGCAGGGGGGTGTTTGCAGGAGGTGTAGTCCTCTGCTGCAGGAGGCGGAGGACAACACACAGAGAGCCTTCCTGCCCAGACACAACACTCAGGGAGGGTCCCTGACAAGGTGACATCTCTCTTCGGTTTTGTGGTGTTTTGTCTGAAGCACTGGCCAGGAGCATCCGTGCGCACAGGTTGAACGCGGGCGGTATAGATAATGTCTGGGCACTAGCAGGTGTGTGCTGGGGAAACGGCAGGAATGCCGAGAGCACCTGTACAGCGTGCCGGCGTGCTCAGGCCCAGCTGTCACTGGGGTCGCTGCTCCTGCGGCTTTGCTGTGCCGCCTTCCCTGCGCGGTGTGACAGTGCCGCTGCCCGGCCGAGCTGAGCTTTCCGCGCTGGCCGCCTCTTCCCTCTCTAGGAAGCGCCAGCCCTGTGCTCTCCTCCGGGGACCCCAGAGCGCATCCCTAGAGCGAGAGGCGCTGCAAAAGCAGCGTGGGGAAGGTGGTTGATTTTAATTTGCTGCTTGCTTGCTTGCTTGCTTGCTTGCTTGTTTTCTTCCCCCCCCCCCATTTTGCTGGCAGGCGGCTGCCGGGGGCGCTGTGTCCCACGCCTGGCTGGCTGTGGCAGAAGCGAGGCCCCTCCCGGAGCTGGGCTCAGCCGTGTCCTGCGGGGCCCTCCTGCACCCCGGAGCCGCCTTCCCG